GTGATTACTCGAGTTCTCGCCGCCGAACCGTACCCTGTCTCTTATACACATCTAGATGTGTATAAGAGACAGGAGAGAGAGAGCCACAGTAAAAGTTTGTGGACTCAGTGAACTGCCAGCAATAATCATTCGACGCAACACCTGAAATTGAGGATTTGGACTTTCAGATGAACTGTCAGACTTACAGCAGCCTGTATTACCTCTAAAGGGTCTCGGAGTGAATATGTAGCATGTGTCGCCTTCGCAACTGTTGATACAACTATTCCACACCCGTCCCCACGCTCTTTCAAAACCTGCTCTGAGCCAATACAGCCACCCGAACAACGAACCTCATCTGATGATTCATCCCATGCTAACTGGCCAGCATCACATAATGACCCACAGCTTATGCATGCAATCAGCAAGCCCTAGTTGATAGCGTTCTCCTCACACACCGAGTCTGGCTGAATGGACACAGGATGCATCCCACATCCCATCCATGAAACAGTCCCTCTGTGCTTTCTGCCCTTGACTGTTGTTGTTGTTCTTCTTCTCTTCTCTTCTCTCCTCCTCCTCCTCCTTCTCCTCTTCCTTCTCTTCCTCGTCCTCTTCCTCGTCCTCCTCATCGCCATCGTTATTGTCGTCATCATCATCATCATCATCATCATCATCATCATCATTATCATCATCCTCCTCCTCCTCCTTACGCTCCTCCACCTTACCCTCCTCCGCCTCCCCGCTCCCTCCTCCCCTTCATCCCTCCCCGTTCCCCCGTGCTCCCCCTTTACGACCCTGTTCTCCCCTCCCTGCTAGTTGCCCTCCTCCTCTTCTCCTCTACGTGGCCCCTTCTGTCCCTCTTCATCTGCCTCACCTTTTCCTCCCTCTCCTTCTCTCCTTTCCCCTCCTCCTTGCACTCCACCTCTCCCCCTTCCCCTTCCTCCTCCTCCCTTACCCTTTGCACCCTTCCTCCTCTCCTCTGGACCTTTCCCTTCCCCCTTTCCCCACACCCTGCCTCCTCCTCCTCTCTGCCCTCTTACTCCCCCTCTCTCCCTCTTCTTCATTTTCTTCTTCGCAATGACATATCCTCCTAGCAATGTCTCCAATATTCTTTCATCGCTCTTCATTCTACCTCTGCTCCGCCTTCCTCTCCTTTGCATGTCAAAAGTTGTATAGGATGATTTCGAAGTCAGTGGTCATCTCTTACATACAATTCCATATCTTGGCGACATCTCCGGATTTCAAATTCTCCATTTCTGTGTGCACTTTAAAGAAAAAAAAAGACAAAAGCTGAGATGTCCAGTGTTTTGAATGAAACTAACATGATATCTGATTCCGGATATTACGAAGATGCATAGCCGATATTGATGAGCCTAGCTCAGTTGGTACACCAATGCACTATCTAAAGGCGGACCCAAGTTCGAATCCTTATGGACCTAGTAGATGTATGCAATGAAATAAATCTAAATTCCCTGTGGCTGGTCAACTTGATGATGATATCTCAAGGCCGTTGCCCTTATAAAAAAAAAAGAAAAAAAAAGATGCATAACCAATGGCCCAAGGGCCCAAGGGGGTACCAATTCGCGAATGTATGAAAGCACATCGAGAGGAAATTAGAGGATATCAAGTTGTTGATTCTTTCGATCATGAATTACCATGATACTGCCGTTGGCCCTGTTGTTCTTATCTTTTCCAAATCTTCTTAACCGTTTCTAAAAATAGCTGGGGGAAGAATAGAGGCCCTCACCTATTCCATAACGTTCTGCAACTTCTGCTCTTCTGCTCCGAATGGTTAATCAAAGGTTAAGGTCAGGGAAAGACAGAGCGATGTGCCCAAGTGCAGTCCATGGTATAATGGTAATGATGAGGAGCGTCAGCCATACTTGGAGCCAGCATGCATGTCAGCTAACATGTCTTCTTGCCTACAGTGAGTGCCCGGGTGTCAAAGCCATGACTCAGAAGCTCTGGCCAAGCTGGATTCTATTCTATGCTCTCTGATCATGCTCCTGTACTTTTCAGAGACCAGACTCTCTCTCTCTCTCT